CTGGGAGTTGTGGTTAAAGTTATTTTGTCCATTGAATCTATATAAGCTACCCTAAAAATTAACATGTGATACAGAAATTGTCTAAAATGTTTAATGACTATCATATCAACTGCAGCCACTATGAATAGTAATATGAATAGTGGCACCTGTGTTGTGTGGGACATCTGTTTTCTATCAACTGTCCCCATAATAGAAGTATGACAGCTAGCAACAAACTATGAAATAAGCCAAAGGTAGATCATTCATCAAAGAATATCAAGCTATCAGAAATTAATATTAACATTAATTAAAGTCATGCTATAACAATTATCACCAAGGAACACATTTCTATAAAAATCTGTATAATACTGAAAATTGTAAATGCAAATGTTGACACACCACAATTAACAATTAAAGTATTTCCAGTGGTGCTATAAGTAGTAGAATGCTTCACTGGGCATGGGTTAGACCTCTTCAACTCTTTCATTCTATGATTCTTATGATTCATTAGGCAATAACACTTTATTCTTCCACAGCAAGGATATTTCAGGTGCAAATTCCCTGTAAGAGAGATTCAACCAAAAGAGAATGGACATTTCAAAGCTGCTCAGTAAGTTTTCATAGTAGCAGAGGGGCTTGTACTTGGATCTCCCTAGCTCTACCCAACAAACTAGACACTAGTTCTCATTAGTTTAAGTATATGCCTATCTTTATTAGATCAGAATGTTACACCCTAATACATTTTTTATATGATGCAAGCATTTTATAGGTAGAAATGTAGGTTTTTAATACAATGAAAATATATTCATATATTGTGAACTCACACTTCAAAGGAACATACCTGAGTGACAGATTTCATATAATTACACAATTACGTGTGTGTGGAATTATTGATCTCCTGTCTTAATTAGTATCTTAGAAACATCATTATTAAATATTTAAATACAAGGCTGTTTCTGCACAATTAACCTGTCTATATTCTACTTTAAATGGAATTGCTTAGCTTAGCCAACCATCCATTTATACCTTTCAACAGCGTTATTCTTTAATAGGTTTTTCCAGGAGCTCCTTATGTTTCAAAAGTGTGTTTTCCAATGACTGCAAGCTGTTTAATGACTTGAGATGCCTAGCTGTCCACTGCATGGAATCAATTTTAAACCCCTACTTGCATTAAATATTCATTAAGATGAATATTTCTTTCTACTTTCAGTGAAGTCACTCACTTTATGTGGTAATAAACAGTGGGCTGCATTTAGTTTTAACAATGGTTACTTTATAACGATGATACATAATTTGTCCAACTAACCCTAAAAACTGCTCACTCAGGAAGTATTCCATCGTTTCTAGCATCCCAATAAAATCAGCAGTAGCACATAAATTAGATGGGATACTAAATAAATGCTCAGTACCACATCGTCTAATCCCTTCCCTCAAATGCCAAGGAAGAATCAAATTATTTGCTTGCAGAATGTTGAAATTAGGCTAAAGTTCACACGTTGAGTTCGGGGATGCCAATTGCTTACCCAATTTATAGGGCATTGTATTAATATTTCAGATTGTAACCTGAAGTCTCAGGAGATAAGATGAATATCATAAACTCTGACCTTGTAATAATTTAAAATTTCCATCATCCTTCAAAATCAAAGCACATTTCCAAGAGCTAAAGCTCATTTCAAAAGAATTTACTAGGTCAGGGGTAGGCAACCTTGGCTCTTTTATGACTCGTGGACTTCAACTCCCAGAATTCCTGAGCCAGCACAGCTGGCTCAGGAATTCTGGGAGTTGAAGTCCACGAGTCATAAAAGAGCCAAGGTTGCCTACCCCTGTACTAGGTAATCACTTTGGTACAGTGTCACTCCTTACTAATATGGAAATGCCACCTATCTCAAACAAGGTTATGAACCGATCTAAAATCAACATTCCCAACAGGCACCTACACTTTAAGACAATTATGGAATGAGAATTGTTAACTATGCAGGGGGGGTGGTGGTGGTGCGGAGAAATGCCTTTTCTTCAGCCAACAGAGAGATGAAAACAATACTGGAGAAAGGCCAGCTGCAGTCATTCCGAGAAACCACACTGTGAGGTAAGGTGAGGTAATCGTACCATCAAGCGGAACGACACAACAAAGCTCGAGGTTGCCACTAATTTGTCTTTGGGAGAGAGGAGCCGAGACAATCACCTGAATCGTATCGCTTCCCAATATATATATATATATTCATATATATTCATATATATTCATATATATATATATATATATATATATATATATATAAAATCACTTCCCTATATATATATCACTTCCCTATATATATATATATATATTCATGTATCACTTCCCTATATATATATATATTCCCTATATATATATATATGCAGCAAATAGGCTGTATGTATGTATGTATGTATGTATGTATGTATGTATGTATGTATGTATGTATATATATACACACACACACACACACACACAGCCTATTTGCTGCATTCTGAACACACTCCGTTTATGATAAAGCCATTATCGCTAAGCTTCAGGAAACGTGGGCGCTCTTGGACTTGAAATCCCAAGCGGTGTTGGAGGAGGAGGAGGAGGAGGAGGAATAAAATAAATAAATAAAAAGCTATCCTCTCCTCTTGTAAGGCGGTCCGGCCCTTTCCCAAACGGCCTACATTGAGTGATTGATGACAGACGCCGACCAGGTCCGCCCCTCCTGCGCTGCCAGGCTCGGGAAAGGGCCCCGCCGTCTATGCTCAGGCAAAAAAAAAAAGGAGCTCACTCCCAGAGTTAATGGCTTCCGCAAATCGATCGATCGCCCGCACCGGGAGGGGATCGAAGAAGGGCAAAGAGGCCGAGCGAGGGAGGGAGGGAGGGAGGGCAGAGCAGGAGAACGGGCTGCAGTCGATCCTTCTCGGCCCAGTTATCGCCCTCCCTCGCGATAACTTCCCCAGTTCCTCATTCTCGCCGCCACACCGATACCTCTCTCGCGCCGCCCAGGCCGGCGCTTTCCCAAGGGGTGGGGGGGGTGGCAAAGGTGGGGTGGGAAGCGTACCCCCCCCCTCTACCAACCCGGCGCAGAAAGAAGGCCGACAGTCGTCCCCCCCCCTCCTCTCGTCCCCTCGCAGCCACCGGCGCGAGCCCAGGACGACGAACTCCCCTTCGGGGGCCTCTCCCGTGTTTGCCACTTCCCCACCCCCACCGCGGGGAGGGCGGCCATTTCCATTGTGCCGACACGGCGGCGAAAGCAAATAAAAAAAAAATGGGGGGGGGGGNAAAATCAAAGCACATTTCCAAGAGCTAAAGCTCATTTCAAAAGAATTTACTAGGTCAGGGGTAGGCAACCTTGGCTCTTTTATGACTCGTGGACTTCAACTCCCAGAATTCCTGAGCCAGCACAGCTGGCTCAGGAATTCTGGGAGTTGAAGTCCACGAGTCATAAAAGAGCCAAGGTTGCCTACCCCTGTACTAGGTATTCACTTTGGTACAGTGTCACTCCTTACTAATATGGAAATGCCACCTATCTCAAACAAGGTTATGAACCGATCTAAAATCAACATTCCCAACAGGCACCTACACTTTAAGACAATTATGGAATGAGAATTGTTAACTATGCACGGGGGGGGGGGGGTGCGGAGAAATGCCTTTTCTTCAGCCAACAGAGAGATGAAAACAATACTGGAGAAAGGCCAGCTGCAGTCATTCCGAGAAACCACACTGTGAGGTAAGGTGAGGTAATCGTACCATCAAGAGGAACGACACAGCAAAGCTCGGATGTTGCCACTAATTTGTCTTTGGGAGAGAGGAGCCGAGACAATCACCTGAATCGTATCGCTTCCCAATATATATATATATTCATATATATTCATAAAATCACTTCCCTATATATATATCACTTCCCTATATATATATATATATTCACGTATCACTTCCCTATATATATATATATTCCCTATATATATATATATGCAGCAAATAGGCTGTATGTATGTATGTATGTATGTATGTATATATATATATATACACACACACACACACACACACACACACACACAGCCTATTTGCTGCATTCTGAACACACTCCGTTTATGATAAAGCCATTATCGCTAAGCTTCAGGAAACGTGGGCGCTCTTGGACTTGAAATCCCAAGCGGTGTTGGAGGAGGAGGAGGAATAAAAAAAAAAAAAAAGCTATCCTCTCCTCTTGTAAGGCGGTCCGGCCCTTTCCCAAACGGCCTACATTGAGTGATTGATGACAGACGCCGACCAGGTCCGCCCCTCCTGCGCTGCCAGGCTCGGGAAAGGGCCCCGCCGTCTATGCTGAGGCAAAAAAAAAAAAGGAGCTCACTCCCAGAGTTAATGGCTTCCGCAAATCGATCGATCGCCCGCACCGGGAGGGGATCGAAGAAGGGCAAAGAGGCCGAGGGAGGGAGGGAGGGAGGGCAGAGCAGGAGAACGGGCTGCAGTCGATCCTTCTCGGCCCAGTTATCGCCCTCCCTCGCGATAACTTCCCCAGTTCCTCATTCTCGCCGCCACACCGATACCTCTCTCGCGCCGCCCAGGCCGGCGCTTTCCCAAGGGGTGGGGGTGGGAGTGGGGGTGGCAAAGGTGGGGTGGGAAGCGTACCCCCCCCCTCTACCAACCCGGCGCAGAAAGAAGGCCGACAGTCGTCCCCCCCCCCCTCTCGTCCCCTCGCAGCCACCGGCGCGAGCCCAGGACGACGAACTCCCCTTCGGGGGCCTCTCCCGTGTTTGCCACTTCCCCACCCCCACCGCGGGGAGGGCGGCCATTTCCATTGTGCCGACACGGCGGCGAAAGCAAAAAAAATATTAAAAAATAAGGGGGGGGGGAGGAAGAGGCGGCGGCTGCTTCGGTGGAAAAGCAGAGCCGGGCCCGACCCCGTTCGGAGGGAAGGCCGGCTCTCTCTCCCAGGTTTCGGGGGCGCCCGGACAGTCTGTGTCCCCCCCCCTCGCTCGCCCCTTCCCTTCCGCGGCCCCACCCGGCCCCCCCCTCTTCCCCCCCACCTTACCTGTGGTGAGGCGAGTGGACACTTCCCCGAAGGGCGAAGGCTCCATGCGCAGGTATTTCTGCGGGGACGAGGCAAAGGAGGCTGAGGAGGAAGAGGCGGCGGCCGCCGCCGAGGCGGACAATGGAGTGCAGCGCCGTCGTTTCGGCGAGGCCGGGCTCAGCAAAGGGTCGAAATCTAGAGTCCGCTTTAAGGTCGCGCCGCACGCCATGGCCGAGTCGGGCGGGGGGGCAGAGGAGGAAGAGGAAGAGGAGGAAAAAGGAAGGGGCTCAGCAGCTGAGCCGACCGGGCCTTTCGCACCGCAGGAGCGGCCAGAAGGACTGACACGGGGGCGGAGGAGGGGGAGAGCTTCCCGCGCTGCCGCGTCTTGTCAAACGCCCGGTCGCCACCGCTCTGCGCCGCTTCGGCTTTCTCCTGCCGGCCGCCGGCTCCGCCTGCGTCTCCAGGGAGCGGCCCGGAGCTCTGGGCCCGGCTCAGCTGGACTTGTAGGCTCCGCCCGCGGCAAATCCTCCCCGGGCCGTATCCGGGAGGGTGTCTAGGCCGGTGGGGGCGGCTTGACGGGAGGCTACCCGGCCTGGAGCCACCGATGAAGAGCGATGACTGCGGCGGGGGCCGTGGCGCGTCTCTCTGTGACTCTTCCACACCAGCAATATGGCGTCAATAACAACGCCGCTGATTCAAAAACCAGCTCTCACCAATGCGCTTGCGCGGCGTGGAGGTGGTGGCCGACCTAAAGGATCAGGGGAGTTGTGGTTTATTTTGGGCCATTTTTCCGCCCTCGTCGTAAAGACGCTAGGCTGGAGAGAAACAGGAACCACAGTTCCCACAGTACTTTGCGTGAAAGAGTCGACTTCCGGGGTGGAATTTAAATCCCCACAGAGGAGCCTGGATCCCAGGAATGAAAGTGGTCGTTCCAACGTTGAGAGTAAAATAATACGGGAAGAGCTTAGTTTGCGAAAATTTTAAAAGGCCGATGATATATAAAAACGGGCTTTATAATGTTTGGCGAAGATGTAAAAGAGTCTTTTTCAAGTTGATTCCGAAGCAAATTACAGATTTTGGAAGAAAAAAAACTGAACGAAAGGCGTCCTAAAATAAATATTTGTTTTATCATATAGGCTGAGAATTGGTGATTTGGTTGTGGACTTTTTTTTAAGCTAAAATACTCACCAAGCAATATTATTTCTGAAGAGCTTTACAGTTATGGTTACACTTTGCATTAAAGTAAGGGCACAAAACGCACAGTAAACTTGACGTCTTGATTTAATTCTACTTAAACTACACTTATTAAAATAAATTGAAGCAAGGTTATAACTAAAGAAATCTTAGATTTTATTTATTTATTTATTTTAAATCCTGGAACTGTAGTTGGCCTAGGACCGGTAGATCAGTTTTTACAATGCAGTGCCCTCCCAACTATGCTGGGTTTATCGCTCACCATGACTGAAATTTTGAAAAGTTAAAAGTAAAGTAATTAGTCTTATAGTATTCCATAGAGAAACAATGTTTGCTTCTTGAATGCATTATTATTATAAATTTATGTGACAAAATTATTTTCTAGTGCCTCATGATCCTACCATTGTTAAGTATTCAATTGATATTTCTGGCCACTCCCTAAGTAATCCTCAGTAGTTTAAAAAAAACCTTGATTGATAGTCAGCACAGCGTTGTGTCTTTAATGATCTATCATTAAAGTTACAAACACAGCACTGTGGACAGTAATTCATATATGTCACACTAAGATGGGCCACGTGGCTCCTGGACAGACAGGCTTATTTGACTTGGCTTCTCAGCACTGGGCTTCTCAATCAAATAAACATGGCAGGAAAGGAGAGTGGCAAACCAATTCCACATTGTTGCCAACACAAAGACATGACTGTAGCCACCAGAGGTCAAACTTGATAGAAGAAGCAGGAGTAGCAGTGGCCGAGTTTGTACTAAATTATGTTACTGGTAAACATCATTAGCCAATCTGATGTAGTGATTAAAACATGAGTTCTAGTTCTGCCTTGGTCACAAAGCCAGGTGACTTTGGGCCATCACTTTCTCTCAGCCCTAGGAAGGAGACAATGGTAAACTACTTCTGAAAAAACTTGCCAAGAAAACTGCAGGGACACATCCAGGCAGTCTCCAAGAATTGGACATGAATGAATGGAATATAAAAAAAAGTTTCCTGAACTAATCTAGTTGCCTAGATTCACACAATATGCTGTATATTAAATACATTGGCTGGGTTGTTACAAGATATTGAGTTATAAATTAGCCACATCTGAGCCTGGAATACTTTTTGCCTACATCTTTTTAATATAAATGATACTCTTGTAGCTATGTGACTGGCCCAAGGTCATCCAAATGGCTTTATGCTGCAGACAGGACTAAAACACATTGTCTCCCAGTTTTTAGCCTGATGCTTTAACCACTAAATTAGCTAATGATGCTTAGCAGTAACATAATTAAATTCAGCATTGCTACTACTGCTTCTTGTACCAAGTTTGATCTCTGGTGGCTATAGTCATGTCTTTGTCTTGGCAACAATGTGGAGTTGGTTTGCCACTCCTCTACCATGTTTAGTTGATTTTCCAACTAATTTACATCCTTGGAATTCTCTTCAGATTTCCCATAGAAGTAATAACTAGACCTCCGGGTGATGATCTGACTCTACTTACCTTCTGAGGCCAAAATATGTCAGTCGGATGCTGCCGTCTGCTTTTTCTGATTTCTCTGTGCTTGTAGATTGCCCATGTTTGAAGAATCCATTGATATTTCTCTCACATTTATGAGATGAGCAATTGCTTTTGAGGACAACTAGGAAATAAATGAAAATTGCATTGTAAGGGTTACAACTGACATATCAGGTTATTTTTATTTCTTCCAAATTATGTGCTGACCACATTTGTGATGTAACATCACCTGTTTTGCACTCTAAATTCCTTCCTGCCAACACTAAATCCAGCCCTTGGCTTTCAAAATATTGCCCACCTGCTTTTAGATGAAAAGTTAGTTTGAATTGGAGAAGAAGATAATATTTTTAGAAATTACTGACTCCATGTGATTAGTACTGAATTATGCCAACTTTTTGTTTTGTGAAAACAGCCTAAAGATATGGTCTGTTCTCTACCCTGTAAAAAGTAAAATTGTTTAACAACAAAAGCATTTCATAACCAAATTATGGATACATTTGTTACATCCAAGGACTAGAGCAGGGCTTTTCAACTGGTGGTACGCGTAACACTAGTGGTACGTCGGCACCTGGCAGGTGATACGTGTACGACGGGTTGAACAGCACTGTAAAAAAAGTGTAAAAAAAGTGTAAAAGTGCATCAGGTGAAACGGCGGAGAGAAGAGAGGATATAAAAGGGGGAGAGAAGAGAGGATATAAAAGGGGGAAGAGAAGAGAGGATATAAAGGGGGAGAGAAGAGGATATAAAGGGGAGAGAAGAGAAGATATGAAGGTGAGAGGAGGATATAAAAGGTAGAGAAGAGAGGATATAAAGGGGGAGAGAAGAGGATATAAAGGGGGAAGAGAAGAGAGGATATAAAGGAGAGAAGAGAAGATATGAAGGTGAGAGGAGGATATAAAAGGTAGAGAAGAGAGGATATAGAGGGGGAAAGAGAAGAGGATATAAAGGGGGGAAGAGAAGAGAAGATATAAAGGGGAGAGAAGAGAGGATATAAAGGGGGGAGAAAAGAGAGGATATAAAAGGGGGGAGAGAAATTTGTTAAATGAGTTTTGCCCCATTTTATGACTTTTCTTTCCACAGTTGTTAAGTGAATCACTGCAGTTGTTAAATTAGTAACATGTTGTTAAGTGAATTTGGTTTCCCCACTGACTTTGCTTGTCAGAAGGTTGCAAAAGGGGATCACATGACCTCAGGACACTGTGACCATCATAAATGTGAATTGGTTGCCAAGAATCCAAATGTAAATCACATGACCCTGGGGATGCTACAATGGTCATAAGTAAAAATGGTCATAAGTCACTTTTTTCAGTGCCATAGTAAATTTGAACAGTCACTAAGCGAACTATTGTAAGTCAAGAACTACCTGTACTTTATCACTTTTTTCCATTTTTTTGGGTCGTCAAGTTTTTGACACCTTGCTAGGCGAGTGGTGTACTTGAATATTGCCATATTCTAAAAGTGGGACAATAGGTGGAAAGGTTGAAAAGCCCTGGACTAGAGAATGCAACATGCCCACAAATTTGCAGATGTTAGGAACATGAACATTGTATCCTTTCAAATGTGTTCTTGTATCCTTTTAGCTATACAGTATATGGGACATTGAAATGTCTGGTACTGAGACATTTTGATAGAAGCAGAACAACATGAACATTAAATTTGTATAGCCGCCCATCTCACAAAATGCTACTCTGGAATACAAATTATGGCCAAGAAAGCATGATTATGAAACCTAATTCAATCTAAAGACAGGGAATTTCCATATTTCCATTTGTTTAATATCCTAAGATCATCTAGTAACAGATAAAAAATAATATTACAAATAGTACCAATCATGGTTTTCTGTGCATTTATTTATAACTCATTTATATTTGCAATTAATTTCAAATGACAGTATTTCAGCTGGAATATATCAGTGCTGTTCTTTTCTGAAATGCAAAACTTTTGTAACAGTATTTTAAAATAAAGAAGTGTGAAAACTGAAAATTATAAAAAAGATTTTAAAAATAAATGTACACACTTTTGATCAACATACATTTGAAATTAGGCACATAAGCCTCTGTTAAAGCACTTGGAGTTCTGTGTAAATATGCCTAGGTTTATATGGCCAGATTCCTGAAATAAAAGCTTTTAGTATCAAATATGACAGGAAGTTGTACAATTAATCAGCCTGTGTATGCATTCTGGATTAGAACAGACTTGCTTCTACAGTACTGTAATGGGATACTTCACAGCAACTTTTACTATAACACAGGATTTTAAAGTATCTCAAGGACATGGCTCTACGCATTTATTTTTCTTCTTTAGAAGGGTATTAAAATAGTTTCAAGCCAACAACATGTTATATAAATCATTTATCCCACATATATTAATTATGTTAGATTTTATACTTTTTTTCTTCCTCTAATGCTGTTTTAAGTATAGTTTTGAAATATCTTTTAGGCCTTTTTTCCAAGTAAGCCAACATAAGGACCTGGTTGGAGATACTTTCAGAATAAAATTGCCTCCTAATTCAAAGTCACTGTGTATGTTAGGTG